CTGGGGAATTCTGGGAGTTGAAGTCCACACAGCTTAAAGTTGCCAAGGTTGAGGAACACTGCAGTATAGAAATAAGAAGAAAGGCCCAGAGCTCCTGTTAGGAATTCTTCAGAAAAACATACATAAATCTGATTAAGATTTATTATTTTCTCTCACCATCAGGTGCATAAAACTTTACAGTGGGGGCCAGCAACCTTTTTGTGCAGCTGGTACACAGTAACCCAAGTGTAATAATAATTTAAAAAATTAAGCATGGCCCAAATCTCATGAGATTTCACATTTTGCGAGATTTTGGCAACCTCACCTCTAAGCTGTCATGTAATAACACTGGAATTTCCTGCGATTCAGCGATAGCCTGAGATTTGGGACATTCAAAATTCAAAACAGATTTTTCATGTGACATCAAAACACATGTTGAAGTTCTGGAATTAATTGGTACATATAGTTAGGCTTGGTAATAGGGAGATTGCAGAAGGGGTCAAAAAAGTTAAGATGGTGGTTGCAATTGGGTGATTGAAGCTTCACCCCTTTTTTATGTGTGTTGCACAAATATCCCTGTTTAGCTATAAGGTGAGCTACTAGGGAGGGAGGAAGGAAGGAAGGAAGGAAGGAAGGTGGGCGGGCATCTTACAGTTGTTCCAGAAAGGAAGGGCAAAAGGATGCAATGGTTTGAGGTAGCAGGAGATCTTTTAATGAGTGCCGTTGATGGGAGCCAGCTTAGTAAAAGCTATGGAATTATAAGGGTGGAAGGTCAGGATACACACATGCTGAAGGAACATTAAGGAATCTGTGCAAAACAGAAAAATAAACCCCCATTTCTAATGTAGGAGATGTTTTATTCCCTTTCTTCCATTTGCAGAGAAGCCTTAAGGACATAGGCATGCCTACAATGCAAGTATATTGTTGTTATCACTGTTCACATTTCTAATCCACCTACTGCTGCAGTTATTCCATTGCTTAAAAACAGAGTGTTTAAAACAATCAAACAAGAGAAACAGTGAAACAAGAAAGTAACAATATGATTACTAAATAGCATGGGAAATGTAAAATCCACTATTTCAACGTAGAGGACTTAAAATTATATAAATGCCAGGGAGAAGTGGACAGTTGTGGTAGAAAAACATCAATGTGGGTGCCAAGTGGGCTGAACTGGAGAGAGTATCCATTAATTAGGGCTCACAGCTTTGAAGGGTTTTTTTTCTCCTTTATGGTTTGTATTTTAGGAAAGACATTAAGGTTTGCCTCTAATTACCTGTATTTTAAACATTGCTTAGATGATGGGCTAGTGGAAATTGGCACAAGGCGCTTCTGCACACAAATGTAATTCACCCTAAAACAAGCTGGGTTCATCCCACGCATTTAGTCACCCCCAAAACTAAACAAAGTTAAATGTAGCTGAGATTACAAAATTGTGCAAAGGCAATTTGGACTTTCACTGGTCTGATTAAGTGTGGTGTGGGAACTCAGCTATGAGTTCAGCACGGTTTCTTGCTAGCGAGAGGAATAAGACCGCCGCTGACGCACCTCCCTCTTGCCCTGAGCAGATTGTCAAACACTGTAACAGCTTTGGATTGCAATAAGCCTATTTATTATTTGGAGGACCTTGTCCAGAAAAAATCTCAAATGTATGATTCCAAGAAACATAACTATCCAATTTCTAGTCCCGGGACACCAAGATCTGCAGGAAATGTACTTTTTAAAGAGGCGAGTCTGTTGGATATATGGAAGAAATATACCTCTTTTATTGCTTGCAAATTATGGAACAAATGCTTGCTTTTTAGAACAAAAGGAAGAAACACCTCTTTGGGTCTTCTGAACTGTCTTAAAATGATTCTACCATTCATGCATATATCATGATGAAATTGGTTTGACTGCCTGCCTTCCTTCTCTCTCTCCCTCTCTCTCTCTCTCTCCCTCTTTCTCTCACACGTGCATTGTCAGCCTCTTTGATCATCCTGGTTGGAAAGAAAAGGAGAATGGCAAGCAGGGAACTCAATGATATTAATTGATTAATTAAATGTTTTATCTGTGGTTCAGTTCTGTATGTGTTGTCTACATTAATTTGCTTTTTAAAAACGTAATTCAATTCTGCATTGTACATAATCTCTCTCTCTCTCTCTGTTTAGAATGCACAAATGCACACATTTCCAACAGGGGTTTTGTTGTGTATGTTTGCCATCCAAATCAAATCTTCCAATTGTTTGGCCCAATTTTTATTTCCTGTGTGACATCTGAGTGAAGGCAGGAAACATTGGGCAAAGCTGGTTGGCCCTGGGGCATTAACAGAGCCAAAATGGGGCAAAGATCCTGTTTCTATCCTCACCCCAGCCTTGTAAGGATAAGAAAAGATACGGTGCTGAACAGAAGTGTGATTGTCACTCATGATAAATAGGGCAAGCACTCTGTCCCTTATTACAATTTGCAAACAGCCTAGGAGGTTTCAGGCCAGAAAGTTTACTCTGGCCCTGGAGGCAAATGGTAACGCTAAACTACGCCTCAGTTTCTTCTGCCCTCTTCTCCTTTTTTGAAAAAAAGCCACAGGATTCAGTCAGGTGAAGTCAGTAGTAACAGCCAGCGGGAATTGTGCCACTATGACTCCTCAGCAGTTTTCATTTAGAGGAGTAAACAGATGGATTGCAGGAGGCAATCACATGTGGGTACAAATACAAGGTGGTGTCTGGGCCTGCAACCCTTCCAGGGGGAATTAAGTGAAACAAAACAATGCATAGGCTTTGGGGAGGGGAAGGAAGGGGGAAAAAAGCACCAGGATCTATGAGCTCCTACCATGAAGTGCATATTAAGGTTTATTTGGTAATGTTCTCTTTCAATGAGTCTGCTAAAGCTGCCATTTCTCTGGTTGGCACTCTCCAGCTCAGAGTTTCTCAACCTTGGCAACTTGAAGATGTGTGGACTTCAACTCCCAGAACTCCCC